GACGGAATTCTAACTAATGACCTTTCCGTTTCCTAAACATTTCGTCCGCACGTGATGGCGAAACGCAAGAATCTCTTTTTAGCAAATCATTGTTTTTTGTTGCCGACTGTCGCTTTGCCGATGCCGAACGAACCGAAAAACCCTGATATGCTGAACGATGGCCGTAAAAGTCTTACACAATTTATTATGTTTGCTTATTGTTTTCAAGAAAGAATTATTTCGCTCTCGTTAATCCAAACCCAATAGAAGTCTCCCGCACATACATTAGATCTCAAGCACCTGTTCCTAGTGCAAACCCGCTTTCTAGTAATTTATTTCAAGGAAACACAGAGTTAGTATTTTGTCAACGCCTCATGGAATTAGATTTCAACAAGACGCAGCTGTCCCCACGTTTACAGAATATCTGATGCGGTGTTTCCAATTTTGGCTAACACATCGACTCGGAGTCATGTATACTAAATAGAACATTGTATAAGTCTGTATGCACCTTTAAATCACAGTAGATTTGATAATGTTTGTGTGGTGCATATGATATTTGGTATAGAAATATTTCCGCTAAAGTACGACAGAGTCAACATTGAGTGATGTGGTGACACCTCATTATTATGTATTAAAATCGTTGTCGACACGAGAAAAGAACATCAACAGGGGATGTTACACGATCCTCGACTAAGCAAAGACTGACACAGGAATAGGCCGCAAAAGTCTTACACAAATATATCTAACTAGGCCAGAGACTTCGTCCGCGTAGAATAGCTATTTTGGGCTTCAAAACTTTGATTTTGCAAAACTTTATAAATTATAATAGCTGTTTTTTAGATCATTCAACGAGAAATCCCTATTTTTCCCTATTTTTTCGCTCCTACTGCATCGTCACTTTTTATAACCTTAAAGCCTTTCTTGATAAATGTTCTAACCAACACAAAATAATTTCGATTTTAACCAGTAGTTTCGGAAATAAAGAAACTCTTCAGCTTTATAATACTAATATAGATTTAAATAAAATACTTTACCGGTTTGAAACACGATATTTATTAGAATATTATTTTTAACTACAGTCCAACGTTTCGGATGCTTTGCAGCAGCCGTGGCCACGGGGAGATTAAAGATGAAGGATGTCTCTGACATCAAAGTAACAACTGTTCCGCTAGCGCCATCTGTTCCGTGGAAGTTAGTATTTGGTGAAATTGGCCGGGTCCTCGCAAAATCGACTAACGGTGTCTTCGCGTTTGCCGGCATGCTGTTTAGTCTCCCCATGACCACGGCTACTACAAAGCATTCGAAACGTCGGGCTGTAGTTAAAAGTAATTTCAAATAAGTTTAACTAAAATACATCGCGTTTTAAACCGTTAAAGTGTTTTATTTAAATATGTAGGTACTACTCGCGTAACTGAGACAGTACTAGTATCGATTTAAGTAACTATAGTACATCCTACTATTAAACACTAGTATAATAGAGTTCTGACTATGTAAGTACGAAGATCTAGTGACTAATACAAGGTGTATTTGATGAAAATTCGCCTCTCATCTCGTTATTTGCAAGTGAAATGAGGCATTGTAAAGAGGCAACCGCTTCAAATCAAGCGACTCAATGTATAATGGATGAGTTGATTGAATATCTTCAGTCATACTTTAGTAGACACATATTCAAACAAAAAATATGGAAATACGTAGAAAATGATATTCCTTACTTTTGCAGCCAAGAGTGATAACTTTAATAACCTACTGCTGCTAATGGAAAGCCAAATACTCTGGTGAGCAGTTTAATAATAATGAAGGTAGTAGAAAAATTTAATAACTCAACAAAAATAATATTAATGAAAGCATAATAACAAAAGACTAACAAACAATACAAATTAACATAATATATAAACCAACAGAGGCAATACATAATATACCCCTAATCCTAAAGGCTTTTTTAACATAGATCTTACATTAGATACTTTAATGTAAGAAGTTTCTCGTACACGCGCAAACGTCGTGCGCAGAATTTTGATTCATAGCTGATAAATAATAATTCGTCTATTGCCTATGATAATTGTAATTTCACTATCACGCTGCCACCTTACAAAATGGCACATTTTATCTATACTTATTATAGATTATTTGGTAAAATTTTAATGTTTCATTCAGTAATACTAAATTCATTTTTATTTTAGATCTTATCTATTTCACAGGAAATGATTTATGCGGACCCTATCTCAGATTTAGATTTGGACCCGGTCGTTGGATAAATCGATATCGTTAGTCCCATGTGTGCCGCACCTTAACTTCATCAAATGTCATCACGCCGCGTCGTGGGTCAATGCAAAAGCGTCTAGCGATTAGCCAAAACCATTTTGACAGGTTAAAACGCGATTTTTTGGTTTAATTTTGATTTCCGTCATTTCTGATGATAAACGCTTAATTTGTTTCATTTGCTATTTGATATTTTGTTTATTATTAAATTTCATCAAATATCGTCATGTCGCATCATCATAGCTCAATGCATAGACGTCTAGCGATTAGAAAAATCTAGTTTAAACTAGTTCAAACGCAATTGATCAATTTAGTTGTAGTCTTGGTCTTGTCTGGCGATAAGTATATTTGTTTAATTGTCTATTTTGTAATTATATAAATTCATCAAGTGTCGTCACGTCGCGTCCCGGCTTAACGTATAAGCGTCTAGCGATTAATTGATTGAGCTTCGGGTCTTGGATATGGCTAGTGAAAATAGTACCGTGCTATAGTACTTACTTAAAGTCATTAATATTCACCACACGTTGTCTTGGTTTAATCATTAACGCCTAGCAATCACATTTTCCTGTAAAAAAAGTTTTTCATTAATTCCATTTGAGGTCATGACTAAAATTGATTAAGTTAGTTTCATTTAATGTACATAAAACTATTTTAAACGAGAAATTAATGTTATTCTCACCGTCAACACAAAACTTTAGAATTTTTGGCTTATAATTTTTTTTTGAACATGTGTTTTGCAATAATTGAAACTAAAATAAAAAAAACTAACTAGTGTTTATTGTATGATGTTGTAATTAAATTTGTGTGTAAAAACTTCAAGTTTTCCTACAGTTACATACGGATATTGTCAACTACCATTTAACCAACATAAGTACTGGACACTGGAATACCATAATAATAGCTTGATGTTAAGACGAGCCCGCATCACATGCGGTCAGGCAACGACGCTTTGTCATCGCTAGCATTATATGACCAGCTATTTCGACCGCTTTAAACGGAAATGGTCCTATGTTCCAAATCAGATGAGGTAGCGATTTAAACGAGATTTTATAGATTTGCATTTCACTTAATTTTCACATGAGGTATTTCGTATTTGAGGAAAATTTCAATCACTACAGTATGTCGATGGGATTTTTAATCCCATCGACGCATCCCAAAAACGCAGTTACGGTTATTTATACTGATAATATACTTATATATTGAAACTTCTCTAAGTTCAGTAAAATGAGATAAAATATATACAAAAAAACAACCCTTAACGGAATGTCATAAGCAATATTTTCGAAACAATAATAAAGTACCAAAATTATGCGCCAGACCGTCGTCACTTTTCGGTATATTGCCTGCGCAAATGTTTCGGCAAAATCGTTGTTATTGAAGGGTCAAAAATATTGTAAATCTTGGAAAGGTTTAGCACGTGACACACAAAGGTCTTTGTGTGAGGCAAATATATTTATGCTTTTAGGCAGCTGAAATTAATGCATCCCTGTGTTTTACCATTATTCTTTCAAATCATAAAAACATTTAATTTATTTAGCCATATGTGCAATATATTCACTATGTGTATATATTATATAGAAAATTCAACATAGTAAATGTGAAGTTGTATTTTTAACGTTATGCACATTAAATCTTTATGATTATACATTTTATCTGTCTTTGAAAGAAATATTTAACTGTTGTATTAATTTATATATAATTTATATATAACTTGATTGTTGTTCTCAGTAAATGCACCAAACGGATGGTAGGTATGGTCGTAAGTTCGAATCCTGTTTTTAACCTAAATATAAAATTCTAAAAGAATTACCAAATTGTAGTGTCTTTAGAGTATACACAGACCTGACATCTTACCAACGTATATTCGTTTCATATAACAGTGAGACCACAACAACGCTTCCTTAAAAACGCATCAATTTCAACTTTAAAAATCCATTAAAATCCAAACAATTATTACCGCGGGAATCCTTCTTAATCCAAGTTATCCCTGTATACTTAACAATAGCGTTTAAATTGGATAAGTATTAGGGTTGTCGTCTCTTAGGCAATCTTAATCCATGATTGATGATCAGCGATTTTCGTTTTGAATAAAACCTCTTTCGAACTTTAACGAATTGGGTAGGGCGAGGCATAATCCGTCTTGTCCATTCCGTCGTTTGATGACAAAATATTTCGAAATGCCGCTGTCATATTTATTATTCATGAACGTTACTAAGTTTTGTTTGCCAATGATCCTTTCGAGATTGAATTCGACCGGTCGAAATATTTGATATAGTATTAATATACAATTATCGGGATCGTTGGGGTAATGGTAGCAATGTATGGCTACTACACGGGGGTTCCATCCCCATCGGACAAACAGTTTTCTTATCAATATATATATAGCTGTCTTAGAAGCTATGTTGTCTTGTATATAGTGCACAAATTTTTCCATCGAAGTGATTTATGTTGTTTAGATTGATAGTATGGACAAAATGTAGATAAGCACATTATCAGTTTGAATATAAAAACAATGTATGCACCAAATAACTAATTATATAATTATTAATCACCAGTAAAACCATCGATTTTATATCTGCAACTAACAATCACTTGATGATTGTTGATTTCTAAATAATCAAATCAGTACGCAAGTGGAAACTTATACGTAAGAAACTTGCAGAGCTCGAATAAATTATTACGATAAATAAATGATAAAGTACAATAAGTAGTAGAAAAACTAGTTAAGAACGATAAAACTTTATTCGTAAACAAATCACAAAATGTTAGAGACAGTGAAAGTGTATGTATTCTGTTGTGTTATATCAGCTTCTGTCATAGAGACAGCAAGAATCCTAGCGGTATTTCCAACTCCCTCTATAAGCCACCAATTTGCATTTCGACCTATAACACACGAACTGGCCAGACGTGGGCATGATGTGGTGGTTCTCACGACAGATCCAGCCTTTCCAAAGGGTCAGGCACCTACAAATCTAACTGAAATAGACGTCCATGATATATCTTATGACATCTGGAAGAACATGCAAGCAAGCCATACCGGCGACCCGAAAGATGTTTTGAAGAACATTGTGCTCATGTTCGAATTAATGACAAAGACATTCGAAAAACAAATTCAGACGGCAGAGTTTCAAAGGTTGATGAAGGAAGAAAATGATACTTTTGATGTTGTACTTGTAGAAGCTTGGGTCCGTCCAACTATAGGACTGGGTCACGTTTTCAAGAAGCCGTTGATTCAAATTAGTTCCTTTGGCGCGGTCAGTACTCAATATGACTACTTTGGTGCTCCAAACCATCCATTTTTATATCCATCAGCTGGCAGAGTAAGAGTATATGATATGACTATATGGGAGAAACTGAAGGAACTCGTGAAGATTGTGTTTCTGGAATGGTTAATATCTACCACTGAGGAAAACGATAATGACATGATGAAGCGTAATTTTGGCGCCAACTTACCGAGTACCGCCGACTTATTTAAAAACATTAAGATGGTATTTCTGAATGAGCATCAAATTTGGGCTGATAATCACCCGGTTCCATCGAATATTGTTTACATTGGTGGCATTCATAATAGACCAGAAAAAGATCTACCAAAGGTAAGCATACTTTTTACTAAAGCTAAACCTAGAAAAAACTGATAGGTTAAAAGTACTGTGCTTATTTCATGTGTTGAAGTAATATCATCATCATCAGTGGCTGTACAGCCCCTTGTGGGTCCTAGCCTCCTCTAGTCGTTTCCGCCATTGCGATCTGTCTCGTGCTTCCTGCTTCCAGTTTTTGACGCCCAAGACTTCCGGGTCCTTGGCGACTCCATCCCACCAGCGGAGCCTCGGTCTCCCGGGCTTTCGTTTGCCACCTGGTTGCGAGTTCAGCAAGGACCTTGGTACTCTTTCATCCGCCATTCTGTGTACATGTCCCAGCCACTTAAGTCTGTTGCTTTTAATGAATTGGACGATATTGGCGTCGCCAAGAGTGTTGTATACCTCTTCGTTATATCGGACTCGCCAAACACCGTCAACACAGACGGGGCCAAAGATCCTTCTGAGTATCTTTCGCTCGAAGATTAGGAGAGCTCGTTCGTAGCCAGAATGTCCAGTTGATATGGGATCAGTTGTTCGATAAGAATCTTTAGAGCACCAGGCCTATTCAGGGTTCTACATAGGCGAAACTCATTGTCCTTATTTTTGCCAGGTCGTTTAGAGGGGATCGGTCCGGTTTCCTTAACTTTTGGTTTCATAATCTAGTGTATTTCGACTGGGTTGGTGATTCGCCCTCCGCAGTCTAGGCACTTGGTGGGACTGCCGCCTGAGGCTTGTGCCTGGCCCTTTCTTTCGGGTTTTGTCCCTTCTCTGTACGATCTGGATTTATGGCGCTAGATGTTCGCCCCTTGCCTTACTGCTTTAGCTACTGCACCGCGAGAAGAGAATTAGGTGGCACTCGCTTGAGGTCGAAGGGTGCAGCATTGTCCAGGGGGCACGACGGGGACGAAGACAGTTAGGACTGGCTGATGTTACCTGTTTAAACCCTGCCACCGGGTGTAGTAAAGGCATTTCTCGGTTTTTTCTTAGGGCGCACTCCCCGGAGAGCAAGAAGCTGTCCCACCGATGCATCAGCTTTGACTATGCAAAGATGTTTTTTTTTGCATAGTGTCAGTAACCTGACCCCCCCGTTAAAGTAATATATATATATATATATATATTGAAACATATATAAGAACGATAAATACTTTGATGTTCTAAAAATTATCGAATAATTAAGAGTCATCATTGTTTGCAAAAAAATGTTTCAATGAAAAAAAAACCGTAGCATTCCTAACAATACAGGTATCAATAATCAAAATTCTCTATCCGTTTAGATCTCCAGGTATAGATTTCAAACATTGACTCTTGTACACACACAATAAGGTTTAATTTTCTACGCTTTTCAACGAAAGAAAGTTTTTGAGAATGAAATGTTGTAACACATAAATTATCCACAATTATGTCCTGTGAAGGCATATTAGAGTCTTTATAATTTTTTTTTCAGGTAATCAGAATTTTCGAAATCGATCTTAGTTGAATCGCAAACTACAATTATTTTCATGTTGGATGATAAAATATTATATAGCACAAATATTATCGTTTGTTTTTTTATGTCTTAGCTTATATGTATGCTATTAATGTTCCAGAAAACTGTAATTGTAGTTATTTCGAACTAAAGCTTAAACTGGTTTCTTTCAAACGCAGGAAATAAAGGACTTCTTAGACTCGTCTGAGCGTGGCGTAATTTACTTCAGCTTTGGTACAAATATTATACCGAACTTGTTGCCCAGTGAAAAGATTCAAATTATGGCAAAAGTGCTTTCTTCGCTTCCCTATGATGTTTTGTGGAAATGGAACGAAGACGTTGTGCCAACAAATGCAACAAATATAAAATTCTCTAAGTGGTTCCCGCAGTCGGATCTCTTGAGTAAGTTGCATACAATACTATAATTAATAAAAATATTTGAAAAAAATTTAAAAGTGTTGGATGGTGATAGTGGTCTCAGGGGAGACTTTAAATAGACAAAATTCTTACTAAGTGACTAATTATAGACTACAGCCAATAATTCAAGTCAATGAATATTAGGTATTATATTTATTATTTATTTATTTATTAGGTATTATAGTAATTAAATGTTATGCTTGACTCAGTGATTCGGATGATAAATTTAGATGTTACCTCGCACCGGCTTAAGAGATTATATTGATACAGTCAGATTAATTATTACATATTCTCTTGCTCTAACGCTCCATGTAGGAATCACGTTGCTGTGCCAATGCTCAAAAAGTGACAAATTTCTCTTTGATATGTATCACTCGATTTAAACAGATCTTAAATAATTTGCGACTTATTCCCCTGCTTGGTTTTATCATCAATGTTTTATTTAGTAGGTACATTGCTTTTTTGTTCAATGACTAATAATATTTTGATTTCAATCTTTCACTAATTTAATTTATATCAGTCGTAATTCGATTAATAAATGTGTCATACGGAGGTGCACTTTGCATCGTAAGACCTTTGAAATGTATTCTACATGTTCCTTTCCTTTTTAAGTCAAGTCAAAATCATTTCCAGGTACATTTACGAACATTAATACAATCAAAACAAAAGGTTTTAATTTTCAATTTAGTTCTCAAATCAAAAGCCTAGAACGATCAAGAAAAACTGGCGAGAATTTCGCTGCTAACTCTTTTATCACCAAGTTTCACTAAGTCTTCGCGCACTTAGAGTGTACTGTAACTTTTTTTTAGAGCAGCTGGTTACGCGATTATTATGGTTTATTGATTTACAAATCTTTTCTAAAGTAGTTTTTGTTTTACATACAATTTCATCAAGTATCTCTATAATACATTATAGCACAGGAAGTTACCTGGCGTCTTATCAGAAATTACTTTCCATCTGGCTGTACACTCTTTGCTAGTTATAATCTAGTTGGTTTTTACCCGATGCCATCTAATCTATGAGTTATAATTATACATTTCCTGTTGATAATTATGAGCTTCTGGACTAGTAGTAGAATAATTATTTTAATACATTATAGGGTTTGTTTGTAAAATTCCTGTAGAGCACTCTTGTAGAAGGTTTCCCACCTTCAACTCATCTTCTCCTCTCTTTGGCTATGGGCACAGAAATCCTAGGGGAAAGAGGCTGGACGAATTTTTGGAGAAGGAAGGTTATGTACTTTATAACGAACCCAGAGCTGGGTTTTTTTATGTGCCGACAATTTTTTTGCTTATACACACATCCTAGTTGTCTTGAAAAAGTTTTATTATTCCTTTGTAAGAAAATTTTTGAGTACATAAATACCTTGATACTGCTTTAAAGAGAGAATCGAACTCAGAATCAACACGGCCAACAATAATTTAATCAAACTTGATAGTTTTATCAGCCAATCATCCGGTGCAGGGTACTTGCAGATTTCAGAATTTCTCTCTTGATAATATGAATTATAATTATCGATGTAATTCCATTTAAGATCTAAACGATTACTCGTATCACATTATCATTTATTTCCTGTTATTAAATAATTTTATCGATATATTCCAGCCATTGCTTTCTTTTTATTATGAATGAATCGATTATGCAAGAATCGTTATTGTGGGCATCAAAATATGTTTTTGCACACCTCCTCTTCATCTCTATAAGTTTTTTTAGATCAATTAAAGATGTATGATTTTTCTACATATTTTTTGGGGATCTTGAACGGTTTTCGCAGCGTACGCATCGGAAACCTACAAACATTAACTTTTCCCGCTTTTTCACATTTCCCGCTATTATTTCGCTCCTATTAGTCGTCCGATTAAACCTGTCAATAAATGCTCTAACCAACACAAAATTTTTCAATCTGAACCAGTAGTTCCAGAGATTAGCGCGTTCAAACAAACAAACAAACTCTTCAGCTTTATATATTAGTATGGATTTAGAGATATTTAGGTCAAAATTAAAATTTACCAAACTGTTTTAGGACATCAAAAAGTCAAATTGTTCATTACACAAGGGGGCTTACAGTCAACGGACGAAGCACTAAATGCAGCAGTGCCGATGCTTGGTATGCCAATGCTTGGAGACCAGTGGTACAACGTAGAGAAGTACGTTCGCTTTGGGTTTGGAAAGCAGTTGGATATCATGTCTCTTAACGAGGAAGATTTTCGAAATGCTGTTGTAACAATTATTACAAATTCAAGGTAAAGCATTATTGTACAAAATGTAGATAAATAATTTCTCTGATCACTTGATTAAATTTTGACCTAAAGAATAAAGGAGTAAACCTATCTTATGTATATATATAATAATTTGATGTATTAAAGTTTATTTCAGCTACTATACTATTAAATTCTGTTTGTAATTTATGCGAGTAGTACACATTGAAATAAAACACATTAACGGTTTAAAATTACTCGACCTACGGCCCGATATTTCGGATGCTATATATGCCGATATTCCAGCAGCCGTGGTCATGACGAGTTGTCGGGCCGTAGTTAAAATAATTTTCTAATAAGCTTAGCTAATATATATCGCGTGTGATATCTTTAATGTGTTTTATTTAAAAACTATACTATTGCTAATCCTACTCACGAAGTATTTGTATTTTTCTTTTTAATGACCAAATTTCAAACAGATTTGCCTATATTATAAAATAATTTATTACTGTGTAATAATACTTTGTTACTTTTTTTAAAGGTTATTTTGTTTAATACTTTATTTTTATAATAACTTGAAAGTATAGATTTCGAAATAATCATAATGAATAATAAAATACATTACATTTTTATAACTTTATCATTCCATTTCAAATCATCATTGGTTGTTTATTACATTTATAACCAGATTAATATTCAACAACATAAAGACGAGTGATAATTTACAATTGATAATTACAGTTTTAAGATAAACGCGGAGAAAATGAGGGTTCTAATGAGGGAACATCCTGTCGAACCCCTGGACAAAGCGGTGTGGTGGATCGAACACGTGATACAAAATGGCGGCGACCACTTACAACCTTTTTCAGCCGGAGGCATATCGCTATTGGAATATTATGAGATCCCATTAATTCTTACTATGCTCTTAACTTGTGTTATAATTATTACCCTAATAATTGCGATCTTAAGATTTATTTTACGTTTCTTGATGAATGGATTAAGAAAAATCTAATTTTTAAACTAAGAGTTAAGTTATTAAAGTTACATTAGAATTACTTTGCATTTTTTTTTAATATTGGAAGGAATTCTGCTGAAGAAGTAAATAAGATTGCATTTCAGAAGACAAGTATTGTTGATTCGTGCTTTTATTATTAAAATCATATTATTTTATAGCAGTAAGTGGTATACATTGCTAAGTAGTTGCTTTGAAGGATTAAATTTAATGTTATCCAGTTTACAGGCTTAGGTGTCCTAGTTTCATAAATATATTTAGATAAAATGTAATACGAAATCATATGAATTTAATGCTCTCATTAATCTAAGACTACCTATTTATGGCTAATAAACAACGGGTCGTGGCTTCGATCCAGTTCGAACATGCTTCTAATCAATTTATAGTATTGACTGAATCATGTTAGATTTCGTATAAAAATCTGGATATTAAGTACGCGGTAGGAATATCAATATTTTGGCCGGGTCTCAAACCACCGCCCACAACAAAAAGCCGTGAATTCTAATCGTGTTTCGGTTGTAATGCTATGATTTTCGAATATCCTATTCCATTATTCCATTCAGTGAATTCAATACTTATCTGTCCTTCTCTATCATAAGATATATATCCTGCGCATAAGCAGCGAACGCCTTCATCAAAATATTTGCAAAATTATTAGTGGTTAAAAAGTATTTTTGCTTTTATACGTAAATTAAAGAGGGTGTCTCTGAAAGTATAATATGAGTAGCTAAAATCATAATTATAAATTATTCGTAGTTTATTCCGCCTCTGTAACTAAATGGGCGTAAAGACGTATTGCCTAGCGTTGCTTTGAGCGCGAGAGAACCTGGGTTCGAATCCCAGGGAAACAAAAAAAAATGTTTCGGTCGGGCAGGGCACAGAACTATGATCAACTACTTGGTGGAATCAACTAATCGTTAAAAGGACGGATCAGTAAAACGGACAGAGAAATGTGTTCGCCCCATGCCCTACGAGGGGGAAACGGGTTTTTACTTTTTTTTGTATTTCATTAGGATACTTATAAAAACAAACATCCTTATATATTATATCACAATATATTAATGAAAGTCAGTACATCATTACAATTTTTATCACAGAAGGTTAAGGTAAATAATGAAATATTTTTACTCTAAAACCTAATGTACTTTTAACTTTATATGCGATATTAACAAACTTTTAACATATTTTAAAATAGTTGCAAGTATTAATCCTAGAATAGTTACAATGGTTAGGAAAATAAATGACAATATAGCTAATAATTTGAGTTCGTAATATTCTGCCCAGGACATATGCGCTGCTGGTGGCTGAAGATGATCTCCACCATGCTCGATAAGATGTTCTATCCACCAAACACCGTTTTCCAGTGGCGTTATAGGACCAGTGCGCATAAGAGATCTCAATCTTAAAATATTTTTCTTATAGCTGAAAACAGTATTCTACCATTATTGTATGTATTAATTAAAAGTGGAAAAGACCTGCGTCTCCATAAAGTACTCATAACGATGTTCAAATTTAAGAATCAGTTACATAAATAGGTTTTTTTATAATATTCTATTGAGAAACTTTAAGAAGTTATCGGCAAAATACACTTGATGTTAGGTGACATCAAAACAAGATGAGTGACTATTGTAGCTTTGAATATTCTAAAATACACAGACTGAAAGCGAAACGCCATGACAGTTCACGGTATTTTTCATCAGGGGACGGCGGTTCAGAAAAATTATGGAGTCTGTGGGGATCGAACTCACGAATCCTTGGTTATTAACCATACATTGATATCATAACACCAACGTGCTTGTTCAAAATAATAATCTGCAAATAGTAGAACGTTGGAAGAATTTAAAAATTAATCATTTCGAATTTATTTCGCACTTGAAGGTTACACGGCTATCATATCTAAAGCTGTTCTAATTATTAAAGCGATAATGTTTTGCCAAATAATATTTCATAAGTATAGGCGATAATCGTGTCTTTATCATTTTCATTAATTAAAGATTCTCCTTTGTACCCCAATCACTAATGCTGAATAAAATAACCATGCAAGTGGTTATCATTCCCGTGTGATTGATATATTATCATATTTATCTATCTACATCTGCTTATCACAAATTTTCTTTAAAGAATGTACTTTTTAGTATTTTACATAGAAATTATATTGATTACTAATGTTATTTCTGTGGTAATAATAATGTTTTAAGCTTAACTACTGGTTTTATGACAAATTATTTATTTGATTATCAATGATATGAAATTCTTTAAAATGTATGGTGAGCTATATCAAGTATACTTAAAAAAATATATGAGAAGTTTTTGCTACTTAAAATACACTTTCCTTCTGTATTAAATTTTTTTATATATAATTATTTAAAATTCTTATTTTATTTCTTATAAAAAGAGGCAACTATCCTTACCTTGGATCTCCAATAATTGTTTCAATTGCTTCTTTGAATTCATCTGCTTTGAGAGTGAACAAATCTAACTGAAGACCAATTTTATGACGCACATACTTTTCTACATTATACCACTGGTCTGCTATTACAGGCATACCTAAAACTGGAACTCCAGCTGTTATAGTTTCATCTGTAGACTGTAGTCCTCCCTGTGTTATAAATAGCTTAACATTTGGATGTCCTGAAACGCAAAAATATAATCTGTATTAATAAGATACAATAAAAAATTCACTTGTATTAAGACCAGTCTTAAACGACTTACTCAAAATATCAGATTGTGGAAACCATTTAGCAATTTTTACGTTCTTCGGTTTTCCCGGCAATTCGTCCACGTCCCATTTCCATAGCACATCATATGGGAGTTCAGATAATACTGACATCATAGCGTTTATCACTTCTGGCGGTAATACTGTTGTCCTCACATTCGTTCCAAAACTTATGTATATAACGCCATTTTTGGAGGAATCTAAATATTGTTTGAGATCCTACAAAGTATTGTAAAAATATTTAATTTTGCATACATAGTTATTTTCATAATATATTATTATTGGTTGTGTACAATACCTTTGGTAATTCCTTCTCCGGAGTCAGATGTACACCTCCAATAAATTTAATATTCGGTCCAATAGGGCGATTATCGGCCCAAATTGGATGTTCATTCACCAAAAGCAATTTAATGTGAGCGAATAAATCGTCAAAACTTGGTACATCTTCGCCTAGATTCTTTCTCATAACCTTATAATCTAGTTCTTCCGTCGATCTAACCAATAACTCTAACACTACAAAGCTAATAAGTTCGGTGATTTTTTCGAAAATTGACAAGTTATATATCCTTTGACGGCCAGGGGTGGGAAATAAGAATGGATGTATTGGAGCCCCGAAAACATTATAGTGTGCTGGAACTAGTCCCAGAGAACTTATTAAAACAACTGGCCTGTTAAAAACGTGGCCTAATCCAAACGCCACTCGTACGCAAGCTTCTGTTATGACCAGATCAAAATTATTCCTCTCCTGCGTCACTATCCTCTTCACTTCGGGCACTTCATTCTGTTTATCGAACACTATTGTAAACCTTTCAAGGAATTCCTTGATCTGGGCAAGCAGCTGTTGTTTGTCGACCCTGTTGTCGATGAGTAACTCTTGCCAATTTGCATATGAGATGTCGTGCACGTCAACTTGAACTAAATTAGTTATATTTGCTGTAACAGGGTCTGGCGTAATGAACACGACTTGATGTCCTCGTTTGGCCAATTCGTGTATAATAGGACGGAACACTACTTGGTGGCTGATCGATGGTGTTGGAAACCATGCTAGAATTCTTGCGGATTCCACTCCACACCAACACAATAATAACGTTAACGCAGCCAGTAGCTTCGCCATATCAGGGTTCAATATTCGGATGTTTCGTGAGTTTTCAATAAATAATGCCAGATAAATAATCTATATCGTTTCGCTGATAAAAAGTTATTCATATTTTTAATGAATGTTTCATTTTAATAAATTGAATCTTTATTGCGATAAGCTACATTGCAAAGTGCAAAACGCATTGATATCGTGATTGTTGCTAAGACCTATGGAAACGATTGTTTTTTTTGGATGCAATTCAGGAAACTCAACTGTACGACACATGAAAGGATATGATAAAAGCTAAACTAATTAACCTATTGTATTCCCGGGTTTCGAACTCAACTCAAAAATAAATCTAAATGTAACAAGACACAAGAATTGTTAAGAGTATATAAAAGTCAGTTATATAAAATATAAGACAACTTTGTTTAAAAACAAAATCGTATGTTATAAACAACGCTTATCTGCAAACGATATGTTTTATTTCTAAATACATTAGACCAGATTTTTTTATCTGCGTTGTTTTAAATGTATTCTAAACATTGTTAAAACAATTGACATACATTAAACAAATCCTCAATTTTACTTTATTCTGTTTTATATATCGACATACATAGTAATTATTTCGATACATAATTACTCAAATTCTTAACAAATGAAAGATAACAATCTTAATACTGATGTCGGTGATTCACCCAACGTTATACAGAAACAAAAAAAGGGGGGAGAAATAAACTAAGATCCCAATTAATATGCTGTCGCTTCTTAATGATCTAGTGGTTAGAAGTCGCCTTGAGTTGCATTATTACAAAATAGGACAAAGCATAGGAGATTACTCTTATGTTCTAAATCTACGGCTCGATCCGTCCATTTGACACTGTCTGATATGACTGACGAACAAGGAAAACAGAATTTCAAATGTGCATGTGTACAAAATGTAATATCTGTCGTATAAATTTGTGTTTGTTATACACAAATAAAATAAATAATAAAAAAAAGACAAATTTATTTTTTTATTATTTGTGTGGCTTTCAATATCGCTATTGTTACTAAAAGATATTACTTGATACTTCTTTTTTATAATTCTTTTAATATTGTAGAAAATACTCCTGATCTGTCATCAATCGTTTTCACAGTGACGAAGGATGTTTAAGACAGACAGTTAAGTTCCCTGCTATAAATATAGCCTTAGATTAAATATATGTTACTCACAATGAATGTAGCTTTCTAATAGTATTTTTTTTTGAGTTTGAAACAGTGGTTTTTAAGTTTATTGCAAACATATACAAAATATACCTCGTCTAAATATACCTTAGACGTCAGATGTAAGCTTTCTTTTAAATTGAATCGGAGAAAATATCTATACCATTATTTTTGACACAAAACGTTGTGTATATCCCAAAATATATTTTTCTTTACAAAAAAAAAAAAAGGGGCCCAGGAAAAAATTTTTTTTTTTTTTTTTTTTTTTTTTTTTAAAAAAAAAAAAAAAAAAAAATTTTTTTTTTTTTTTTAAAAAAAAAAAAAACAAAAAAAAAAAAAAAAAACCCCCCCGGGGGTTTTTTACCCCCCCCCCCCCCCCCCCCCCCCCCCCCCCAAAAAAAAGTTTTTTTTTTTTTAAAAAAAAAAAAAAAACCCACCCCCCCCCCCCCCCCCCCCCCCCTTAAAAAAAAAAAAAAAAAAAAACCCCCCCCCCCCCTTTTTTTTCCCCCCCCCCCCCCCCCCCCCCAAAAAACCAGTACGACTTTCTTACGAAAATATCTACCATTTACATTGATACTATGTACACCACCAATTTTATTTTCAAATTTACTAAATTTACGTATATAGAAATACCTTTAAAGTAAACTTCATTTTGATAAAATCGGTTGAATATAAACCAAACTTCCTACAATTGTATAAACGAGCTTGTCAAAATATATCGATTCCGAAATACTAAGAATCTAATTTGATTGATTTGATTTAATTTAAACCCTGATAGGACATATGTATTATTACCGATATGTTTTAGAACCAAACACTTAGACTAACAATAATCATAAATATCAAAATCAAAGAAATATTATAAAATCAAGAAATAACGAGAGACAACGCTTGAGATATTCCACAGTATCAAACAAGGCCAGCTGCTGCAAGAGTAACATTAAATCCACCATGATCTAAAATGTGTTCAATCTATCACATTACTCAGTTATAAGGAAAGGAGGTAAGTGAAAATCGCTTTCTCAAGTGTGTCTACCTATAAAACAAAAGATTCCAAACTATTATTATATTGTATGTTTAAATATTAATGAGATTTGAATATGCTTCAAACAAAAATTCAGTTAAATAAAATGCACAACCTTCAATACCAAAAAAAGGGTATTATTATACTTGCGTTTAGTTTACTCCTGCGAATCTTTTAATCTTTATAATGCAAGATTGTCTTTAGACAATTATTGCTTATTTATTTTGACAGGCATACTAATGATAAAAATATCTATGTTGTACAAATTAATACACAGTAAATCAAAGACAATTAATATACATATATTTAAAGGCAAAATGGATAAACGTATTTAGTTTAGATATTAATTGTCTGGGGCTACCTCACATAACATCAAGTGACCCCATGCTTATCTGCCCTCTGTAATACCTATATATTATATAAATAATATATAATAAGTATAAATAAATTAAATTAGACAAGGTATGTATAGAATAGTAGTATGTTACCACATTATTACTAATGCTATCCTTCATAAGCGTAAGGACAATACAGGCCAACGACAATGCATCATATATTAAAGTATTCTTAAACTAGACCAGAGTTTTGTGGCATCACAAGTTATTTAAATAAAACACTTTTGATGGCTTAAAACGGGACAAATATCAACTTATTTTAACTACAGCTTGACGTTCAGCAGCTATCACAGCGTGACAGAAGGTAATGTCAAAGTCAGATCGGCTACGCCAGCGCCATCTGTTTTGTCGTAGTTGATATTTGATGTCCTCTGGTTTATCGGTGAGCCGTTTTATGGATGTAGTGTATTTCAAAGGTCTAATAAATGCTGACCTAAATATAGTACATTGATAATAATACAGCGGAAATATACATAGATAAAAAGTTATAAACCCTGATATAACTCATTAACTTTTATTGTAATCACTATATTATCTAAACTGATTTAATCATTAGAAATCGTTTCGTGGTATGTCTTTTGAATATTTTATTTCATTATTCCATAAAACATCGACATTTTTACGTGTAGCTTGGGTGAATTGACAAAAACATCACTCCATGAAATATGTACTAAATAATTCTATCGCAATGGACATTGTTCTGTAATGTTAGAATGTTTTTATAAAGAAATAAATATATAAAATATAAATCCAATACTCATAAAATAATTGTATATTATTCTATCTATATCCGAAACCTTCCAATACGTGAACATATCCATCAATTTTTTAAAATTTTTCTATTTGTTAACATCAAATAAATTAAAATATATCAGAACAAACAAAAGATTTTACAACAATAAAAAACTCTATTACACTAGAAAGTGAATTTAATTATATAAACCATCAGAACCCACACCGTATGTTGTTCCTAATCCTTTAAAAATTTTTAGTTGTTTTTTTCTTTCATATTAAGGATTATATACTCTAAGTTTTCTTTTCAAGAGGATCAATGTCCTGTTCTTTACAGTGTCAGAAAGTTTTGACAGTACTGATTCCTTAATTATCAAGCCTACGTAAATTTACATATGCTAAAAGAAAAAACTTAAATAATTTACATTTTAAAATAATGACATGAAATGTTCACGCATGAGAATTGTAAAGATGGAAGATATCTATTTTTAATTTAAATAAAAATTTCAAGGTTAAAACGCGATTATTAGTTAAACTTATTTGAAAATGATTTTTAACTCGGCCCAACTCGGATGCTTGCAGCAGCCGTGGTACGGGAGACTGAGACAGTCAAAGTTCAAATAAGTTTTACTAATATATCGCGTTTTGAACCGTTAAAGTGTTTTATTTAAATGATGGAAGATATACATTTTATTGCTTATCGTACGTATTATAGTTTTAAAATATGTATTAGCTTGTCTTAATTTTCACTGAAAAGCTACGTCTTAGGTAATTACACAGGAAGACTAAGATTAATACCGGTGTCGTGACAGATAGTAGTAATACTGATAAAATGGTAAGCACCAGAGTTCCTTCATAATATTCGTACAGGCCATAGTCGCCGAAGTTCAGCGGTTGAAGATGATCACCACCGTACTTGAGGATGTGTTCTGTCCAGAAGATAGCTTGGTCCAAAGGCTTCATCGGTTGGTCCCGCATCATAGAACGGAGACGAATTATGTTCTCCTTGTAGCTGAAAACATTTTGAATTAAGCATAAGAAGTGCGTCTAATTCTGTAATAGGCACAGATTCTGTATCTCTATATAGACTTTGAACGACGATAAGATAAAAATCATGTGTTTAATTATTGATAATAAACCATCTCGTTGGTTTAGTGTTTAGTGCACTTGACTGCAGATTACGAGGTCGCGGGTTCGAATCCTGAGTGAAATGTCACTTAGGTACTTGGAACTTAACTCTTACTAGCTCGGAGTTTGGAAGCTGGAGATACTTTTAAGGACCAAACAGTGTGCCATTTAAAAGTTTAAATGAGAACTTGGAACTCTTTGATTCTAGAAAAAATCTAAGAGTATTGTATGGACAGACCGATTCGTATACAGTTTTTAGATATGTATATTGATTAATTAACATTTGCGTAATTCTCAAATCTTATCATCGTGGTGAATTTTTTTTATCGTGGCGGGTAGGCATTGAAGATTATGACGTAGGCTTTCACCTTGGATTATTTATAACGGTCTCAACGGCATTCCGAAAGTCATCAGCAGTAAGGCTAGAGAAATCTAGCTGTTTTCCAATATTGTGTCTCACGTATTTCTCGACGTTGTACCACTGGTCGGCCATCATTGGTATTCCTATAAGTGGCACAGTACCATCTATTGCCTCATCAGTCGACTGTAATCCGCCTTGAGTGATAAATAGTTTAACATTGGGATGTTCTGTAATCATTGATAAGTTTTTTAGTAACATTATATTAATTCGAAATCGATCAAAAATGAAAAAACCTGCGCAAAAGATGTAGGTACAAATGGGCTCAGGAAATTCGATTATGACGACACGGTAGTTCAATTGGTTACATTAGCAGCACGGATCTCTTTGAATGCTGTTTCAGGTCCTGCCCGTGTCGTCAAATCTTTATTTATTTAAATTATAAGGAACTACATCACCTTCAAAATTATTGTTATTGTTCTTCTTAAGACGAACAATCATTTTCAATAATTTTTCATAGTGAGCACACTAGAAGGAAACCCATAAAGAAATAAAATAAGAAGTACGTACTTAGTAGATCAGCCTGCGGAAACCATTTGGATATTATAATATTATCAGAGCGGTTAATTAGAGTTTGGTTGTCCCATTTCCATAAAACGTCGTAAGGTAGATTTGAAAGCACGTCAACCATCATCTTTACTTGGCCAACGTCAAGCATCTTTGGTTTCACGTTTGTGCCGAAACTGACGTAAATTACCCCGTTCTTCGATGTATCTAGATACGTTTTCAAATCCTGTAAAATAAAGAAATAATAATTAGTGGATTTCATCGGAATTATGAAACAAGTAATAGTAAAGGCATAAAAATAACTAAAAATAGAGGTAAGTCAAAGTGACAACGAATGACATTATGGTACGGATTATTGAAACCCTACATGTAGTAGGTAAGTCAAATCAATCTAGATAAAAAAAGATGATACAGTCAGACTCGAAGCCCAAACAACAGCATATCGCGCTGTTACTTTTTTAACGGACATGGTAACTCAATTTTGAACAGCAACAGCACGCAAAGTTGTGGTTGTGAGGTAAATCCAGTCGGTGTCATTGAATATTTTCAAGTTAAATATGTTGGGATAATTAGAGAATTTAGCTTACTATAAAGCAGTAAGTAATCATTAAACGTATTTCAGTACATGCCTACGGTGTCAGTAATAAAATTAATTTACATTTGGTAATGGTTTCTCTGGACTCTGATGGATTCCTCCAATGTACAGTATATTCGGCGAAACAGGACGATTGTCAGCCCATAGAGGATGTTCGTTAATAAATAACATTTTCGAATTAGTGAAGATTTCCTCAAACCTCGGTATTTCGCCAAAATACTTTCTGGCCACTGCGTAATCTAAATGTTCAGATGTGTATATGCTCCGCACGATAGAAGAGAAGCTAATCATTTCCTTCAGCTTCTCGTAAAGCGTTAGGTTGTAAAGACGCTGCTGCAGTGGTGTCGGGTAAAGGAATGGTTGGATTGGAGCTCCAGTTAGAGTGTACTGGGCTGCTGAAACTCCCAACGAACTTATCTGAATTGTTGGGGCTTTAATAACGTGACTAATGGCTAAAGCCGCTCTTACACACGACTCCACGAATACTAAATCGAATGTGTCCGCTTCCTTGAGTACTCTTTGCACCGCTGGTACTTGAAGCTGGTTGTCAAATATGAATGACATGCCTTCCAGAATCTTCGCAAATTGTATCACGATGTCATTCTTGCTCCCTCTTTGTAAGGAGAATAATTTATCTACGTGGGTGTACGAGACGTCGTGGACATCTATTTCAGTGAGGTTGGCCGGTGCTTTGCCAGGTGGAAAGGCTGGGTTCGGGGTTATGACGACGACGTCATGTCCTCGCCTCGCAAGTTCATGCATTATGGGACGGAATATGACCTGGTGGCTGATGGATGGCGTCGGGAAGACGCCTAATATCCTCGCGGGCTCTACACAATGAAGAGCTATCATGATAAAACTAAATACTATTGGTTTGGCCATTGTCACGATTCACAAACAACTGGTAAACGGTTAGAGGTGATTTTCATTATGAATTATAATCGAACTGCGTGTAGTATCTTTTTGATAAAGTATCTGTAGGCTCAGTTGATACAATTTTATTAAAATACTTATTTATATTTTATTTTTTATATATTATTTACATTTCACTTGTGATTAAAATAGTACATTATAAGATTTATTTTGTTGGATTCCATATATGATAGATTGTATTTATGGATCCTTAAAAAATATCAAAGCATTTACTAACATTAATAAACGACAACAAATTCTTAATGTTTTTTCACTGGTATAAAAACTATTACAATAAAAAAAATTATTATACAATTTACACAGGTCGTACTATGTAAGTAATGTTTGTTACATACAGTTATTAGGTTAATTTTTTTTCCAGAAGTTCCTGAGATTAGCGCGTTCAACAAACAAATAAACTCTTCAACCTTATATGTTAGTACAGATTTTATTAAATGTATATTGGTGCGTGTACAATTTTAATTATTATTATGCAAAAAATTACATAATTAGTATGTATGAGGAAATAGTATGTGTCCTTGTATCGTTGACGATAACATGATTTTCTTTCGAACTGTGAAATCACTTTAGATCTCTTTCTTTCTAGTAATATAATTACTATGACAACAATAATTTTGATTTCGTTACTTTTCGTTCGCAGTAACATAACGTTTAGTAAAATGTATAGGGAATTTGCAGCGCTTTTGCAATTTGGGTCCTGGATCTGCTCGTCCGTCGCAATTGAAAATTTGTTTTCGATGTTTCTCCATCGCGTATAAGATGTGGTGCGCGTTCGACTAAGAGAAGACTGTCTGTACAAGAGGTTCGATCTCCGAGGAAATATCAACAAGCTTAAATAAAACACTTTAACGGTTTAAAGCGCGATATATATTAGTTAAACTTATTTGAAAATTATTTTAACTACGGCCAACTTCGACGGAACAGATGGCGCTAGCGTATCAGTTGTTATGTTGACGATAAAGACACCATCTTTAGTCACCCCGTGGCCACGGCTGCTAAAAAGCAACAGACACGTCGGGCCATAGTTACAATGAAATAATTTTCCAACTAATCGTGGTTTTTATAACATCATCATCATCAATGGCTGTACAGCCCCATTTGGGCCCTCGCCTCCTCTAGTTGCTTCCGCCATCACGATCTATCCCGTGCTTCCTGTTTCCTTTATATAAATAATCTTTATATAATTATCAAATTACATATAAATTATAATGTTTTATTTCTAAGAATTAAGAAGTTTCATCTTTGCAAAAGCGTTGTATAATATAGATTAAAATCAGTCTTAATTTAAATTTACTTAATAAATCACTAGATACCTAAACCTTTTCTAGTTTCAGCCCCTTTCAATTTATTTTTTCAATGCACTGTTACTTTGTCTTTGATCTAAAATTTTTTCAAGTTGTTTCAAGAGAGTATTCAGATTCTATTTTCACATAGATGACACAGTTCTTGCACGATTTTTTTAGGTTTATAATCAGTACTATAGACAAATCGGTGAAACCGACATGCTTTACCGGGATTCAAACTGTTCTTGTTTCCCTCACAATAATATTAACTACAGGTAACGCGTGTATTAGCTATCAAATATTGAAGCTATCAAAGTTTCGTTTTGTACTTTATTACATTGCTTTTCTTGTAGGCGTGGAAAATTAGGCTAAGGTATGAATATCACGAGTCATTTTGCTTGCTTTAGATTACTTTGGGAAAGCTAAAAATAAAAATAATTATTTTTCTTAATAGGGAAAGAAAATTTACTTCGTGGCAATTAGTTCCTGAGATTAGCGCGTCCAAACAAACAAACTCTTCGGCTTTATATATTAGTATAGATATCGATTGTAAAAATTTGGACGCAAATTGATAGTGAAACAATTATTAAAAGTTTCTGAGCGGTTTAAAACGCGAAATATATTAGTTAACTAATTTTTATATAAAAAACGTTAATTATATGAGACCGAAGTCTTATACAGAATATTAAAGCGGAGAATGAGATGCTAAGGAAACGGTTTGGGGAAAATTTTCTCACGTTGAGATAAATTGGACATGTGTATGTACAAATGATGCTTTTCAATGTGTTATCTATTTGGGACTTGCCTAGTGCCGCCAAATGCTATTTAGATGGTTTGCCAAAATGCATCTTCTTCATTACTGCAGGTACAGAAATATTTAAAAATTTCTTGAGACTTGCATTTCTTGTATGTGTACAGTATGGAATAGAGAACTTGTATATTACAATAAAATATTAATATGAAGAACTACCCTACTACTATTACTTATACATTACATTATTAGCTGTATATGCCACTTCGTCCACGCGGAATAGTTTTTTTTGGGCATCATTTTAATTATTTTTGCAAACGACCTCTTCAGCTTAGATTGTGGCTGGTTAACCACGACGGCGTCCGCGTCCCGTCGTTCTTGTTAATCTTAAAATATAGACATACAGTGTCGCAGATCTTATTTTACCTTATTTCAAGAAGTCATATTTTTTCTTTGTTATATACTGTCTATAGTTTACGCGAGTAGTATACATTTAAATAAAACACTTTAACGGTTTAAAACGCGATATATTAGTTAAACTTATTTGAAAATGATTTTTAACTTCGGCCCGACGTTTCGGATGCTTTGCAGCAGCCGTGGTCACGGGGAGACTCCCCCGAAAAGAATATATCGCGTTTTAAACCGTTAAAGTGTTTTTTTCTTTATTCTTACATATTCCACTGTTTCTTCGCTCCAGTTGATTAAAACGTGTGAAAGTTTTCCTCGACAAGCGTCTAGCTATTACAAAATTTTTTTCATTTCTTATCAGTAAATCCTGAGCTTCAGCTTTAAAATATTAATATAGATGAACGAAGTAGTTCTCTTAATCGTCATACATCATTTACTAAGTAATGCAAACCACTAATCATTCGTGGTTGTATTTAATACCTGCGGCAAAACCGAACCTGAAATGTTTATTCTGGTTTATAAAGATATCAATGTTAAACTTTTGAAAACTTTAATATTATTTAAATTATTATCAATTGGTTAGAACAACAGCGCGAACGCTGTGGATCATGTCCTGCCACTGTCGTAAAAAGTTGTCGGTTTATAATCTTTAAACATTTCATATTTACCTGGTTTGTAATTATCGAATAAGGCTTTGAAAATAAATTGTGTAAGGCTTTCACGGCCATCGTTCAGCATATCTTTGTCGTTCGGGCTGTTCGGCCGATGTGAGCGAGAAGAGGTTCTGATGATGATGCCGTCCACACGTGATCGCGAAAGGTCGAGAACCTCTTCTCGCTCACATCGGCCGAACAGCCCGAAAGACAATGATAAGGTTTTTGAAGTTAGTGTCCCAATGCTGGAAGTAGCCACGGCGTGGGACCAATGGTACATAAATACTAAATGGGTTGTACCCATCTTCGTTATCTTTCATGTCAACCAATGATGTTAATAAAAACTAACTAGTATAAAGGAACATTGAAAAGTTTTTGCTTTTATTCCTTGCTCTGAAGTACGGTACGCATTTCCGTGGTCAAATTTTCGTAATTGATCTATCTCAATGTAAGCCATTGTAATGAATAACCTCTTTCAGAAAATAATGCTACCTTATTTCCATAATTAACAAATGGTAACAGATACTTGAAATGACTAAAAATTAAATGAGTACAGCAATAGTTACGGCGCCATTCTTGTGCAAAAACGACTAGCACTTCGCTAGGTTTATTATAAGTCTGAAACCGATACGTGATTAAACTTGACGGCTTTTTCATCTTTTGTACATCTGTACCATCCATTCAATATCCAAATTTCCAATCCAAACTCCAATAAAAAATCGTTGGACCTGGTGGGGATCGAAGCCGCGACCCGTTGATTACTAGCCATCAAATCATCAGCAAAGCTTTTATTTCATAATTTATTTAAAATTGTTCTTACTGTTGCTAAAAAATCTCATTTGCTCATTGTTATTATCAGACAATTTAAAGATCAGTCTATTGATTACGTGATACCAAAGTCTATCGCGTTTGAGAGATAAAGGTATTCACTTGACTTAGCGATAATATTATAAATATTTAGCGTTTATTTTCATCTTTGTATGATGCAGTGAAATAACTACTCTTACTTAGCAGCAGCCGTGGTCACGAGGATCTCACAAACTGCTGCAAAGCATACGAAACGTCGTGTCGAAGTTAAAACATTTTTAACTAATATATATCGCGTTTTTAACCATAAAGGTGTTTTATTTAAATGTGTATCACTCGCGTAAACTACAGACAGTAATTAACGATGTAGAAATTAAGAATTCTGTATTTACAGTGTTTGATAATTTTCAGGCAGAAGTAAACAGAAGGCTCTTGTGTTATTATTTATTAGTAGTTTGACCTTCCAATATATAAAATTTGTTCCACACGTTGACCATAAATCAGGCAAAACCAATTTATGTTAACCCTGCTCTACGCCAATATTTCTATTTCGACGTACAATATTTTAACTTGGGTTTATTGTATACTTGACGTTTTGGCTACGACACGGAAAACCGGGGAAAATTACTCAGAATTTTAATTACGCAAAATTTAAGAGCAAGTGTATTGTATTGTTTGTTGTTTGTATTATACCTACCTAGCTGTGGCAGTGGCTTTGTCAGCGATGGATAGATATTTGAATTTGTCAAAATTACTATTCAGATTAGTGCGCTTGAACAAACAAACTCTTCAGCTTTTTAATATTAATATAGATATACGAGATACTATTAAATACAAAATCAGCAATCGGTTCCTCCAAGCATTGTCTGTAGTTTAAATAAAACACTTTAACGGTTTAAAACGCGATATATTTTAGTTAAACGGGGAAAGAGAGTCTCCCCGTGGCCACGGCTGCTACAAAGTATCCGAAACGTCGGGAATTGTTAAAAATAACTTTCAAACAAGTTTAACTAAAATATATCGCGTTTTAAACCGTTAAAGAGTTCT